TTCTTAATGCCAACTGCATGAGAACCACCAGGACCTTTAAACTACGCGGTAACCCCTGGGCTCCACCTGACACTAGTTAGAGCCAAAGCTTGAGAATGGGGCCCAGGTACTACTACATTTAACAGTTTCCTAGATGGTTCTTGTGGAAGGTGGGTACCAGGATCTCAGACGAGTCATTCAGAAGAGGCTTATTCGAATCTGGGGGAGAACAGGTGTGTGATCTGAAAAAGTTTCCCAAGTCTGCTACGGATTCCCCTTCTTTCCAGAACTGGGAAAAACTGTTTTAAATAAATGTGACCTGGGTCTGGGAGCTAACGCACTGCACAATACCCCCAGAAATCCCACGGCTAATTCTCTTGGGACCCTTGGCTGGGATGCTTCAAAGCTTTCCGCAACAGCTCTAAGTCTCTACAAAAGCATTTAAAAATTGTTAGCACTATTAGAAGCCACATTCTTTCTCTGTGACCATAATAGAACCCTAGAAGATATAAAAAATTAAAATCTATAGAAAATGGCAGGTTATTTATAGAACAAAATACTTTAGGAAAGTCTTTAGGCTAAATACAGCATATAAACCAGTGTGTGTCCAACACATCCCATTCCACTCCTGCTTGCAAAATGCTTATTACTTCACACACAATCTCGTCAACGCTCAAAACAACAGTCCGGCAAAGAGAAACGGTATGTGCAAAGCAAAATGAGAGCTCACATCCACGCTGTTCTGTACTGACGCTTAAGCCACGCTGCAAAGTTACAGGTTCAAAAATAGAGCTCCATCATCTAAGAGTTGTCTTTTTTTAAAAAAACTTATATTGAGGACAGTTTCTGTGTTTTATTAGTTGCTTGCATAGGTAGTAAGAGCATGCTTTACGGATTAGATGGAGGTCATGCAAAACTGTCTTCACCTACTCAGGGAAAAAAAGATTCATCACGTTCAAGATGCAGCTGCAGAAACAAACACTTCAGGAGTTGATTAAACGGCAGCATGAGACACTGCATTTCCTTTTAAATAAAAGCATGAGTTTTCCCCCTAAAATGAGCAGTCAGGTTTAGCAGTCCTGTGCCCTTTATGAAATAAAAAGGACCAAGCAGAGAAGCAGCCCCTGTCTGCGTTTAGGTGTATGATACAGGCACTGGTTTGTCAGCCAAGTCTGCCCTTCTCAACTCCAAATAACACAAAGTTCAACACGCCTCACAGAATATGTGTTTTATTGAAACTGTGCTTATAATTTGCATACTATCCCCCAAATCCAACCCAGAAACGCCAACTATCTCTGCATCCAGTAATGATAATAGCCTATACAGGAAACAACGTCCACCGTTCAGTAATTTGTCAGAATGAAACGTAAACAAAGATGTCAATCTACTTTTAAAAACATCTTTATTTGAAGTAAACGCGCTCCGCCGCAGCTTTCTCTGCTCCACTTTTCTGGA